GATCTCTAGTTAGGCAATATTAGTTAGCTGAATATCATCTTGCTGAATTTGAGATTATACGGTGGTTGCAATGCAGTCTTAGGGCGTGTTTGACCATTCCAAAATAAGATTGGAGTTAGACTATTTTTTTATTATATTATTAGCAAGGCTAGAATTGGTCTGTATAAAATTAGTTTAGAGGCTAGAATTGAAACTAAATAAAATCAGTTCAATTTTGACACAATTACTGCCAAACGAAAAACTAACTTTTAGATTAAAATTGTACCCACTAAGACTAGTTTTGTTAGTTGCCAGACACATCCTTAAGAATGTATGAATAAAAATAGCATATCTTATCATTAAGCCCAACCATATAATTTTTTTCTGCATAAACAACGTATGAGATAAGTTCATCGAATCAATATCTTCAGAAGTAACGGAAGTAGTAGAAACAAACGTGATTTTTTACTATGAAGTATCAAAAGTAGCCCCTACTTTCACTACTTCAGCTATTTTCTAGTTATTGTCGTGCAAACAAACATGCCCCTAAAGAAAACAATGAGTTCTAAAAATTTAGTCCCTTAAATATTTAATAATTCTAAATTAGTCCCTCAAATCTTGAAAATTACACATTAGTCTCTAGAATTTTATAGGGCCTAGCAAAATTATCCTTATAATTCTTGTCGAATTTGAGGAGAATATTCTCTCAAATCTTAACTATTAGAGGCGAAGTGATTGTTTTACCCATTTAGTTAACTTCTTCAACCTGTTAGTGAATGGTTTTAAACCCTATACTACTGTAAAAAAAAACACAAAGCACTTGAGTTCTTCTTAATAAAAAAAATCCTAAATGAAAACTAAACTTCATCAATTGTTATCAACCCTTTAAAATTTATATAATACTCTCAAAATTCTCCTTAAGACCTGTCTATCGTCTTCTCCTCCAACATTCGGAACATCAAATGAACGAGATTTTTACATCTTTCATTATGAAGAGGAGGGGTAATTCCGTAAAAACAGGTTCGGGCGATATGAGTTAACCCAATCATGATTGGGGTTTTCTATTGAATTGAAAAGCTATGAGAGTGACAATTTTACAAGACCCTTGGATTTGATGGACTACTATATACAATTTTAAAGATTTGAGGCTCTCCTGGGTCTGTTTAGCAACTTTTACAAAACCGGACCAGGATCAAATTATAGCCCTGAATTTTTTATACACCGATCGATCCCCATTGACCCACAAAAGGCTCCGTTTAAAGGCTAATTTTCGGTCTTAGAAAGAACCAGGCCAAGATTAACCTAATATTTAATTTGAAGACATAATCTTCCTTCAAATGTAATTAGGGCCAAACTTAATCCCATTTCCGAGGAGCTGCCAAGACAACAAAGTGAGGGAAAACTAGCTACGAAGTAGACACCCGTGAGGGGGGGTCTGCTCCTAGGTTCAACGTGTCACGTACAGCCCTCTATGCCCGTCAATGTCACAGCCAGGGCCCAGCTCATCCAGATCCACCACAGCCCACAGCAGGTGACGCTTGGGTGGTGCTGCACGCAGCCTGCATTTAAATTAATAATAATAAAAATAAAAATAAAAAGAAAGAAAGAAAGAATGNAAAAAAGAAAGCCCCCCCACCCCGCCTCTCCCTCTCTCCCCCTCAGCCGCAGCAACTACAGCATGCAAAAGCCAAACTACTCCAGCGGCGGAGAGTCGGAGTACCGCGCCTCTGCATCACTCACGTCACGCTACTGCTCTGGCTCTAGCGTAGCTTGGCTTACGTTGTGATTGACAGCGGAGTCGTCGTGTGTGGGGGCGAGGGGAGCTGTCGGCAATTAACCCAACGGGCACAG